CTGACTCATACACCCTGGCATCTCCTTAGTTTGCTCCTGAATCTCCTTCAGGTATTCCTCAAATATCACTTTCTCACTGAACCTTATATGGCTCTTTAATGGCAGGTGGGGGAAAAAAAAAGAAAAGATCTCTCCTGTACATCTGATGGAGAAATTGGTACCCAGAAAATTCAAATTCAAGATTACAGTCCGGCCAGCATTGCTCAGGGGTTGAGCATTGACCTACGAATCAGGAGGTCACAGCTCGATTCCCAGTCAGGGCACATGCCCTGTTTGCTGGCTTGATTCCCAGCGCGGGGCATGCAGGAGGCAGCCAATCAATGATTCTACCTCATCATCGATGTTTCTCTTTCTCTCCCTCTCCCTCCCTCTGTGAAATCAATAAAAAATATATAAAAAGAGATTATAATGAGCCAGTTGTTTCTGTTCTCTGAGCCTTTGCCTGGAACCCATCTTGGCTTGGTTGATTCCTCCTTATCGCTCAACCTTAGAGAGAAACCTTCCCAGATCTCCCGGGCAAAAGGTTTCCCCCTCTATTCAGCACAACCAAGCATCTCATGCTCTTCCCAGCATGTTCCCCATACCGAATCAAGTTGTCGATTTATGCATCGCTTGTCTTCAGATTCTTTGCTCCCTAAAACTCTACTCCTCGGTGCCTGGAACGGCACTCAGCACTCAGCAGCTGCTCACTGCATGTCGGCTACATGGGAAATGCATGCCGATCTGAGGTCCCTGCGGTGGATTGCTTAAATAATACGAACGACTGGGAACTGTATCTCTCTCTCCTTCCAATGACCAGGCTGGATTCCCGGGAATTGAGAGGCAGGCAGGACACCCACGGCCGCTTTCCTGGAACCCTGTGAGCTGACAACACACCCTTTGGTTCCTACGATGGCCACACTCCGCGGATGGGGAAACTGAGGCTGAGAGAGGCAGTGTATCTGCCTGGTTTGTACACAGTGTGGATTCACGGCTGAGGCTGGGTTGTTACTCTGGCCTGTACCTGACTTTCTTCCTGTCTCCCCCCTTGGCTGTGCTTACATTGCTCTTTATGTTTAGAATGACGGGCCCCTGAGAGCTTTATAGGAGAGTGGAGGTCCTGTTTCAGGCCAGCACGGCCAGTGCCCAGCATGGCGCCTGGTGCTTAGCACGCACTCGATACATACCCATCAAACAAATTAATGGCTGAGTCCCAGTAAAATCCTTAAGTGCCTTCTGTTTTATGGTTTATTTCCCTCTGATTTTTTTTTTTTTTTTTTTTTTTAGCATGGTTCATTTAGGAAAAACATAGAGGATGTGAAAGAAAGAAAAGAAACACCTCAGCTCACGAGAACACCCACTACCACAGCACATAGAATAATAATGGGGTGGATTTGATGGTGAAAGAGATAAAGGCCCACCGTGGCCACGAGGAAGGCTGCATGTCCCCGTTTATACCTGTTACAGGTCATGCAATGCCTGTTAAAAATGTCTGAGTCCTGCTGAAACCGGTTTGGCTCAGTGGATGGAGTTTCGGCCTGCGGAATGAAATGCCCCAGGTTCGATTCCCGTCAGGGACACATGCCTTGGTTGCGGGCACATCCCCAGTGAGGGGTGTGCAGGAGGCAGCTGATTGATGTTTCTGACTCTATCCTTCTCCCTTCCTCTCTGTAAAAAATCAATAATAATAATAATAATAATAATAAAGTGTGAGTCCTCCTTTCCCCATTTATTTTCAAAACTGTCCCGGTTTGAATGACACATTATAGTGTCTCTTCCTATGTGGTATCTGGGACCATCTTTGGACTCATCAGCTCCCTCTTGCCCTCACTCACTCCCTTCCAGCCACATGGGCTGTCTTGCGGCTTCTTACAAATGCCAAGCTCACTGCTGCCCCAGGGCCTTTGCTCTGGCTGTCCTGTTGGCCTCAGTGTCTCTTCGCTTACGTACATGCATGGCTCCTCCTCATCCGCTTCGGGTCTTGTTAGAGGAGCTGCAACCTCTCACCCTGACGATCCACAACCCCTCTGCTGTTTTTGTTTTTCTCCTGACCTTGAATCATTTTCTGACACAGGAGTTGGCGAACTACAGCCACCTGTTTTGTCCGTGAAGGTTTCGTTGTCACACACCCAAGCCCATTCGTGATGCATTTTCTCTGTGGCATGATAGTATGCTAAGGCAGAAGGTTGAGTGGTTGCAACAGAGATTGCATGGCCCACAGAGCCTGAACCGTTTAAGATGTTATCGGCCCTTTATAAAGAAAAATAAATATATATAAAAAGGTATCTCTTATCTTGTTGATTGCTGCTTCTCCCACTAAAATGTCAATTGCCCTCCAACAGGGATCAGCCTCCTCTGTTCACTGCACACCCTGGTGCCTGCAGGAGTGCCGGCACACAGGATTCACTCACTCGTTGAATGAAAATGTCATTTTAGGCCCCCCAAATCTGATATTGGCCAAAATGAATATCTATGAGTGAAAAAGGGCTTAAGTCAAGATCAGCTTCAACCATTAGCGATCATTTGTCAAGGGGCATGTGTTTATAATCACCAACTAAACTCCATTGTGTTGCCTTCTTAATTAACATTAATGGAGAAAGAAATAGTGAGAGAAACACAGGAAGTCACAGGGAGGCAGGAAATAGGAGGAAGAGGAAGAGAAGGAGGAGGAGATACAGAGAGACAGACACACACAACTAAGTTCTTGGTGTCTCTTATCTTAAAAAAAAAATTATCAGAGAGGAAATGAGATGGAGAAAGAGATAGAAACATCAACGATGAGAGAGAATCACTGATAGGCTGCTTCCTGCACGCCCCCAATTGGGAGTTGAGACCACAACCTGGGCATGAGGCTTTGACCAGAACTGAACCCAGGACCTTCAGTCTGCAGGCCGATGCTCTATCCACTGAGCCAAACTGGCTAGGGCTTAATGTCTCTTCTTATAAAGGCACTCATCTCATTACAAGGACCCGCCTATCATCTAAACGGCCACCTCCTCTGAGGGTTCCCAGGCCCAGTGACAGAAGAAGTCACTTGTGAGAGTCCTTGAGTCTCAAGTGTTGGGGTGGGGGTGGGGGTGGGGGGAAGAAGAAGGGGGTCCTGGGGACTCCTGAGGATAGAATTCAAGGAGTCTGCAAATTTGAAGAGAACAAGGTGAATCCTTCACTTTCTAAATTTCCACAGGAGAGGGGCATTCTCTTCCATTACGAAGGGAGCAGGTGTCTGGATGGTACGTGACGCTTGTCCTCACCAGAAACCTCATACAGTTTTCAGACATCACACAAATCCTTTTGAGCTTAAAACTCTCATGAAACGATGGGATTTCTCCGAACCATCACTAGGTCCATTGGCGATGGGTTAATAAAGTCTAAAACTGCATCACAGATCTGTATTTATTTATATTTTCATTGATTTTAGAGAGAAGGGGAGTTGGGGAGAGAGAGATAGAAATATCAGTGATGAGTCATTGATTGGCTGCCTCTTGCATGCCCCCAAACATGGGGGTCAATTGTGCAGCCTGGGCATGCGCCCTTGACTGGAATGGAACCTGGGACCCTTCAGTCCCTCAACTGACACTCTATCCACTGAGCCAAACTGACTAGGGCTCACAAATAACAAATATTTTGGTAACAATTTCAATACATTTGGCTTTCTTTGTTATCCCATCTCTTTTAATTTATGCCTTTAAAGTCATCTGATGACCAAGTGATCTGTGGCTCGACAAGGTAAGGATCGCTGAGGTAGAACAATCAGGCATCACATCCTGCCTTTTAGAATGACCATCGTCCAAACGAGACAAGGGATGGTGAGGAAGTGGAGGAAAGGAGCCTTCGTGCACTGCTGGTGGGGCTGTTATCCTCAAAAATTAAAAATAGAACTACCATATGATCCGGTAATTACAGTTCTGGATACTTCTTCAAAGGAAATGAAAACACTAAACTGAAGCGATATCATGTTCATTGCAGCATTATTCAAAAACAGTCAAGGCATGGAAGCAACCTAAGTACCCACCAATGAACAGACGGGTAAAGAAAACATCACACACACACACACACACACACACACACACACACACACACCCCACAGTGAAATACTATTCAGCCATAAGAAAGAAGGAAATCCTGTAAGTTGTGACACTGTGGCTGACGCCTGTGGGCACTGTGCTGAGTGAAATAAACCAGAGAAAAACTAATACTATATGATCTCACTTATACTGGAGTCAAAAGAAACCCAACTCTTAGATAAAGAGATCAGATTTGGGGTTACCAAGAGGCAGGAGAGAAGGAGCTGGGTGAAGCTGGTCAGAGACACAAACTTCCAGACAAGATACACCGTACTCGTTGCAGGAAGAACCAGTTTGGGTAACGATAGGAGGTTATGGGTATTAACTGAACTCACGGTGGTCGTCAGTTTACAATATATGTAAGCCCCAGTCATGATGCTGCATCAAACGATAATGTCAGATGTCAGTTGTACCTCCGTAAAACTGAAAACCAAAGCCAAAACCCGAGGTGGGCTCCCTGCTCCCAGTCATCTGTCTTTTCTGTCCCAGACTTTAGTGAGAGTTTAAAGAAATGACTTCTCTACAAGTTAAACCAACAGACCTGCTCAAAGCAAGTTGCCATAAACCTTCAATTAGTAAAAAAACCAAAACAAAACAAAACCTTCAATTAGAAAAAAAAAAATCTGCGAAGCACAATGGGTGAAGCGCAATGAAGCAAGGTGAAGTGCCTGTATTAAAAAATCTAAAATTACATTTAAAGGCCTGCCCAGTGAAAAAGTATTCAACATCCGCGTGCCCTCTGGATTCCCATGTCCCGAGGGGCCTTCCCTATGAAAGAGTTCTGAGGATGATCAACGCCCCTCCCTCCCAACCCTCCACCCTCCATTCTCAAAGGCCTGAGCTTCAGAGAACATGTTGAGTTGTCCCTGGGCTGCCTCCCTGGCTCAGAGTCCCCCCATTGCAGCCTCAGGAGCTGGCTGGTCCTGGGGGACCCCCCCTCTGGCCCTCGTCACTCACATTGTAGAGGAGGTCAGTCCACCCTTCCATGGTGATGCACTGGAAAACAGTCAGCACTGCGAACAGGATGTTGTCGAACTGAGTGATCCCGTTGTTGGGCCCTTCCCAGTAGGGCTGGCATTTGGTCCCGTTGGGGCAGGTGCGGGCGGGCTCCTCGGTCCCACATGGAGCCGGAGACTCACCCTGAATGTCATCTGTGAAAGGGAAGGGAGAAACGTCAGGAGGAGGAGCCTGGGAAGAAAGCGCTGAGAAGTAGGGGCCTAGGAAGGGGCAATGCTGCTGGGGGGGAAAAAAGGCTATTGGGACGAATTGATCAATTTTGTTAAAAACAAACCCAACACTTGCCTTCGTTTATCTATTCATTGCTTTCTATTTCATGAATTTATCCTCTAAACTTTATTACTTTTCTTACATTGTTTAGGTGAGTTAACTTTCTTTAAAGCTATACATTGCTCTTTAAGTGTAGCTTTAGCTGCACGCCGTTATTTCTGTCAAGTGTCATCATTGTTCAGGTAAAATATTTGGCAATTTCCACTATTATTTCTTCTTTGACCCAGGGATAACCAAGAAGTATTTATCTTTAAAAAAAAAAAACACAACACACAAAACTTGTCAGAGATATGTAAAATAGAGTAGTATAATGAACTCCCATGTACCTATCACCAATTTCAACATTTATCAACTCAGGGCTACTCTTGTTGTATCTATATCTCCTTCCCACACTTTGCCTGGTCACTAGAGTATTAAAAAAATAAATAAATATATATATATATATATATATATATATATATATATATATATATATATATTATTGATTTTTTACAGAGAGGAAGGGAGAGGGATAGAGAGCTAGAAACATCGATGAGAGAGAAACATTGACCAGCTGTCTCCTGCACACTCTCTACCAGGGATGTGCCCGCAACTAAGGTACATGCCTTTGACTGGAATTGAACCCGGGAACCTTCAATTGAACCCAGGAACCGGCCAACCTGCAGGCTGATGCTCTATCCACTGAGCCAAACCGGTTTCGGCACTAGAGTATTTTTAAAAAAATCTCAGACATGCTGTTATTTCACCCACAAATAACCATGTCTCCTAATCTCCAGACACATTTAGAATGGTCTTTTTGTTACTGATTTCCAGCTTAATTGCACTGTGGCTAGTGGATATGTTCTGTATTATTCAGTCTTTTGAAATCTGTTAAGAAGTGTTCGATGGTCCCTAATAGTCAACTTTGGTAAATGTGCTGTGTGCATGGTGAGGTAGCTGGGTGCAGTGTTCTCCATACTCCATTAGGGCAAAGTTGTCCATCACATGGTGTCATCCTTCCATAGTCTGATTTTTTTTTTCCTTGAGATGTGCTGGGCTCAGAGAGGGCCAGTACATACGGTACTTACTCTTAGGCACAGGAGCTAAGCTTTCTTCCTCCAAAGCAGAAGGCAGATTGTGAAAATGCCACACATAGAGAGACATGTGCAAACGGAGGAGCCTTTTGCTAGCAACCAAAGACAGCTTTTCAGCAAAGGTGGGCTGGGGCTGACAGTCAGGTCTAAAGTCTGAGGGGCTGATCGGGCGGGAGGGATGCCTGCGTGAACACACGGAGTCCGAGGAGCACACGTCCCGGGTGTGTCCCCAGCGGACCAGAGCGGCAGATGTGAGAGGACCCTATTCAGTGAGTGACATTTCTGACGGTTTTTAAAGTGACATTATCCACCGAGAAAACAGACAGCGGAGTGTGTAAACTCAGGCTTCCCTCTGGATGAAAACTCATCTCAGCACATGTGCACCAGGCTCTGAGCACAGGTCCAGCCTCCACTCAGCACGGGGACCTAAACCCTAAATCAGCACCTCACTGGCCTGTGAAGCCGAGTTAAACAGAAATGCGAAGTCATGCACACTGATGCCCACTGCTCTCAGAAGTGTCACTAGTTTAAAGGGCTGGAAACACCTTCCCATTCACCCTGGACCTGCTAGAGGGGCTGTGGTTTAAACATAAGGCTCAGGGTAAGACGAAAAAACCCATTGGCTCCTCTACAAAACTAAAGGCCCGGTGCATGAAAATTCTGGTAGTCCTCAGGGGTAGGAGGCAACCCGGCGATCAGGGGAATGCGAAACCCCCATCACACCTCTGCTGCTGCCACTGCCGGCAGTGCAAGCCTCAGCCGGCCTTGGTTACCTGAGCATATTCCCTCCTTATTGGCTGTGGGCGCTGCCATCTTTGTGAGGGCATTAGCATATTCCGTTTTTATTGGACAGGATGAGAACCCCTGCTTGTTGGGAAGGTTGCCCCTGCTGGGAATCTTCTGCCTTCACCCTGTGCCCAAGTCTGGCTCTATTCCTGCAAATGTTACCCCACTGAACACTGATCCTCCCTCTCCTCGGGGCTACAGTAGCTCTCACATGTGCATAGCGTGGGGATAACATCTTGCATTAGTTTTCATTACTATGAATTGGTTGCAAAGAAGGGCGCTTGTCTCCTTAAACTATTTTGGAAGCTGCTGGAAAGCGGGTAGAATCCACTTTTATCTCCGTGTTTCTGTGAGCATTTAGCACGGTGCTGGGTGCCTGGGAACCAGGCTCCTGATGACAAAGAAATGCAACTGAGCCGAAACCAGTTTGGCTCAGTGGATAGAGCGTCGATCTGCGGACTGAAGGGTCCCAGGTTCGATTCCAGTCAAGAGCATGTATCTTGGTTGTGGGCATATCCCCAGTGTGGGATGTGCAGGAGGCAGCTGACTGATGTTTCTCTCATCATCGATGTTTCTAACTCTCTATCCCTCTCTCTTCCTCTCTGTAAAAAATCAATAAAATATATTTAAAAAAGAAGAAGAAGAAGAAAAGAAATGCAACTGAAAACTTGTCTATCTTTAGCGGCTCTGCCCAGTGGCGTCCTTGATCCAGGTCCCCCCCTAACTCCCTGCCTCCTGTTGTGAAATACTCAGAGTGCTGCTTCTGGAAAAGCAACCGTCCAGAGCCTGAGGAATTTGGTTAAAAATATATTTTAAATTTAACCTGCTGCCTGGGTGTCTGTGTATATCTGTCTCTTACTCACACGCCTTAGAATTGTCATCGTGAGCTCCTCTGTCTTCTTCCTAAACAGAGGCCTCCCACCTCTGGCAGCCCCACCCACGCCTGTCCCCTCACAACCCCTCTCAGACCCAAGCCCGCCCCGTGTCTTCTGGGCTGGAAAGAAAAAAATTTAAAAAGCCAACAAATTGACCAAATCTAGGACCCAGATGTCCTGGTTTCTCTGCTCCTGGCTGCTTTTTCCAGGGGGCCCTGCCCTGTATCGCTCCCCGAATTCCCACCTGGTGGTGTGGCCAGGCGCAGAAATAGCTCTGCCTCAATTAGCACCTTCTTCATCGGGGAAAGAAATAATTAGGACATCCCATATTGAGCGAACTTCACGAGCTCAGGAGAAAAGGAGACAAGAGGAGCAAGAAGGAAAAAAAAAAAAAGGGAAAAAAGCATCTCAAATAAACCTTTCCTACAGGGGACGGGGCTGAGCCGCTTGGGAGGGAGAGGGCCACGGCAGAGCAGGTGAGGGGGGAAAGGCTCTCCAGGGCAGAATCTTCTCCTAGCACGTCCTGCCGACAACCTCTCTCCTTGAACAGAACAGACGGTGGGGTCTCTTTCAGCTCCACCGTCCACTCTGTCCATTCCTTCAATTCACGGAGCCCCGGACCTAGGACTAGCACTGCCATCCAGCTTGTTGGCGCCGAGACAGCCAATGGACCAAATTCTGAAACACGGGCTTCCCTCCTTATGCGATTCCAGTCGGTAGAAGGGGATTTAACTGCAAATGTATCTGGAAACTATTGGAAACTGAGTATGTGGATAGTGGGGACACTGCCCCGCCACGTTGCTGACTCCGAGCCGAGTTCTGGGGGTGCCTCCTGGATTTTCTCCTGCCGGCCCCACATCCACACGTCCTACCCCAGCCACTGAGGGGCTGACACTGACACTGCGTGGAAAGGAGAGGGGCCAGGCCCTTGTTCTGCCTGGCCGGGGCCGGGACTCCCCATCGGAGAGCTTGAGGTACAGGTAGAAGCCATCCCCGTTCTCCTTTTCTTCAGGTCACCATGCAGAAAACCTTCAGACCCTTGGCCAGGGGGCCCTTCCTCTTCCTGCTCTGGGACTCGGCGTGGGCTCTGGGCACTGCCAGGGAATCTGGCAGAGGTGGCTGGCACCCTGTCCGTATCCTGCTGTCACCTGGCCTGCCTGCTGCCACCTGAAAACACCTTCATGCCAACCAGGAGACATCCTCACCAGTGATGGGCAGAAGTCAGTGAGCAAGTGCCCAGCTCCCTCGCTCCTCAGGGGCACGGTTGTCTCCCCGAGGTGCCCCCTGGGGCCGAGCCCCGGCTGCCCACAGTGGTAGTCTGCTTGATGACACCCCTTTACCAGCTTCTTCCCTTCTCTGTCTGACTTCCACATGCCCCCAATGGCACTTCCAGGGACCACTTCCCAAATAAACTACTTACACCAGGGACAGCTTCTGAGGAACCCCAAAGCAAGGCCCTAGCAACCACAGGATCTGGGGTGCGGCTATGCTCCGTCTTATCTGCAGTGCATTTGGGAGCTTCCCGGAGACTCGAACCCTGCAGAGCCCTCCCGGGAGCTTGTCCCCAGGGGAGGAAAAGCCACGGGAGCGAGGTTGGGGGGAAAATAGCATGATGTTCGGACCTACCTGTCCCCTCTTCAAAGCAGGTGGTATGAAATTTCCCCATATAAAATTCTAACCCTATGATTGCAAAAATAAGGATTGCAAAAAATAGGAGAAGGCCGATCTGCAGCAAGGGGATCATCGCCTTCATGATCGACTTCAGGACGACTTGTAAACCTGGGGAGACAGAGAGAGATGCCCCGTGGCCGTGAGCAGTTACCCAGAAGCCCTCCTTGCGCGCCCCCCCCCCCCCAGGCTTCCGAGGGAGCCCAGAACCCACGGAGGCTGGGGGTGGTTGATGGTGAAGACAGGACACACAGAGGCTGCTCCTTATTATAATAGGAACACCCCCCACCCCTTAATTTTTTAAAAGCACTTATTTTTAAAACACTTAAAAAAGTATTTGACATACGCTGTGTCGTCTGATGAACCTTCGGGCTAAAAGGAGTGGGAATCCACTGCTTTGTGGGCCACGGTCCCAGATGCTGGGGGGCTCTCACCCAGAGCGGGGTGCCTTTTACTAAAATTCCCCCCTACCAACAAGGGCACCTTTTCCTAATTTATGCCAAGGTATCACATTGGCAAGTTGCCACTCTGCACGGGCAAGCGATCGGCACCCCAGTTCCAACCCAGAGAAACCAGACGTGATTCCATTGGTTTCGGCACCGGCCCACCGCACGGTGGGTGCGTGTGTGCGTACAATGATCCCCGTTTCTGCAGAGGTGGAAGCAAGGCACGGAGAGCTGTCGTGGTTTCACCCAAGGGCACGAGAAACAACAGAGCCAGGATCCAAACCCGGGTGTGAGTGACGGCAGAGCCTAGGTCTGTAGCCACTGGGCTCTCCGCTAGGAAAGTCTGTGGTAAAAAACGAGGGTTCCGACATACAACCCGGGACGTGCTTCTCCATGAGAGAATGTAGCACGGCCCAGACCAGCCCCTCCTGACAGGAGGAGACTCTACTTGAGAGGGACACTGTCGAGATGGCCCCCGGGGACTCTGCTCCGCCACTGGGGGGCGATGGAAGGCGATGCTAATGAAGGCAGCGTGGCTGGGCCAAGCCACAACTCCTCTTCTGTGGGTGCACCCACCCTGCGGCTGCGGTGAGCACTGGCTGCTTAGGGCTTCCTGCCCCACCTCCTCTCCACAGAGTTGCCCTTGGTTATAAAGAGATGCCTCACCTGGGAGACTGTTGCTGCCCCATCTCCCACCCCAGTAACCAGAGGGTACAAAAGGCCAACCTCCTTGCCCCATATGGAAGGACAACCCTGGTGCCCTTCACACTCCACTCCCTCATTCACCCCTCACCCCCAGATAACTCCTCCCCTCATAAAGAAGGGCATCTGAACACCCAAGTCTGCTTGGAGAGGACCAGACAGCCCTGGTCACCTACTTGCTGGCAACGTGACCTTGAACAAATCAAACAGCCACTCTGAACCTCGGTTTCTTCACCCGTCAGTGGGCATCACAACAGTACGTCCCTCCCACAATCCAGTGCGAGAGGGCATACCTAGCCAAGTACCTGACATGCCGGACTCCTGTTAGTTCTAGCTTCAGGGTGGCTCTTAATTTAAAAGGTTGCAGGCACCTGCTGGGACCCTACAGACGCCTGACCAGAAGGGCCTTCTTTCTACAAAAAGGCCCTGCCGGCGGTCAGCTGGGAAATCCTGCTCTTTACATCCCGATGGCAATGAACCCATGAAAACGGTGGCAGTGACAGAACCCACATCACAGGCTCACGATGAGGGGGTAAATAGGTTTTACTGCCCTCAGTGTCCGAAGGCAAAGACTTAGAATAGTGCCTGGCCCATAATAATAACCGAGGCCGTGGGACAGGAAAAGGCCAGCTCAGTGTTTATTTGTTTTTATTTTTGCAGCCGAGCATAATCCTGCGCCTGAATACTGCAGCCACCGCCAGAGGCTGGAGGAGAAGCGTCCTCAGAGAACGAGGAAGCCGTGTAGAATGGGAATGGACTTTGGGACTCGTCACCAAAAAGCTGCAAGAACTCAGGCGAGAGGTTTAACCTTTCTGCGTCTCAGCCTTTTCATCTGTAAAATGGGTTTATGGGGTGATGACAATACTGAACTAAAGTAATGCATAGAAAGCTCTTTTGTGCAGTGCCTGGTATGTGCCACACAGGCATTCAAGAAACGATAACGGTGACGGCCACCAGGGTCCCTGCCCAGGCACGTGGCCACACTTGCCAACTCCTCCCTCTGCCACAGAGCTGTCACGGCACCCTGATCCAATCACTCAGCCACCCTGAGACTGTCTCCCCATCTGCGAGATGGAGATGTCAGCGCTGGCAGCTTCACCAGGTTGTGAGCGCTGAATGGGACGGCGTGTGGCTCTCAGCGCGGCTCCTGAGAACCAGCAGGCACTTCATACAGGGGGGCTGTGGGGATGGACAAGGGTCCTGGTCTGCTTTCAGAAGCTCCCCCAGACTTGAAGCCAGGCTCCTGAGGGTTCCCCAAAGCGGAGGCTGCCCCGGCACAGGGTAGGGGGGCACTCGGGGGCTCCTCCTGAGAGGTGGAGGGGAAACTGACGCCGCTGGGGCCCTGAGCGGACCCCTTGCCAGGATCGGAAACTCACGCACTTGGGATTCCAGACACCAGCTTGAGCGGCCGCAGCACTCGAACTGCCCTCAGTGTCCGAAGGTCAAACTCTGTCCCAACGGTCGCCAAGATGCTGGAAGAAAGAGACCAGAATGGAAGACAGAGGGTGGGTGTCAGGGTCAGGGTCAGGCAGATGGGCGGGGTGCTTGGGGCTGGACGTTGTCAGTTATTGGCTGGGTGGCCGCAGGCAGATGACGCTCCATTGCTGGGCCTCAGTTCTGTCACCTGTAAAAACAGTGTTCATGTTACCTGCTTCACGGGATAGCAGGCGATGTATGACCCCAAACGGCTGGACAGCTGATGAAAATAAATGCTGGAGAAGGAGGAGGAATGGAATGTGGTGGTGGTGGTGGGGGATGGCCAATACATTTCACAACCACAATCAGAATGGATTGAGGGGAGCCTGGGGGCACTGAGGGGGGGGGGGGACTGGGAGAGTGGCAGAGCCTTTAGGGGCTTGGTGCTCTTTACCATCTGGCAGGAAAGTAGTTCAGTGTTAATAGTCCAGAGGACACGGGTTCAAGTCCTAGTCCTGCCACTTCCCAGCTGGGGGACCTTGAGTGTGTTGCTTTCCTGCTCCATGCCTCAGTTTCCCCCTTCGCAGAATGTGATGACAACAGTGCCCGAGAGTACAGTGCTTAGCGCCGCACTTCAAACAGCAGCACACCGAAAAGGGCTGTGAGGATTAAATGAGGTGATAGTTGCCAAGTGGTTGGCACAGTGCCCGGCACCAGGAAGCTACTCGTGAAGACGTGGAAGAATGAACAAACCAGGAAGGGATGTGGCCCTGATGGTGTGGACCAGCTGGCACTGGCTCTAGAAAGCAGCTGTAGACCCCAAGTCTCAGGTCAGACGGAGTCGCTCTTGCACATACCGGTAAGACAAGACCCATACCCCACCTGCAGACCCATACCCCACCTAGAAGGGCCCCCACCCACTAAGACCTCCTGTGTAAAAGTGCTACTGGAGAGAAAAGGGGGTCCCACAGCGCCCCCTCCTGAGGCTCCCTGGGGAATCTCCATTGCCCTGTTTCCTGAATGAGTCTGTTCCCAAGGTAAGTGATGGGCAATGAGCTACCGCAGAGCCACTCAGCAGAACAGGCTGTCACCATCACTCCACTGAAAGCCAGTGGAGGGCGGCTAAGCAAGTCATTTGAAGGCGTCATCAAGTCTTTGCCAGGGGTCTGGACCTCACCACTTTGGCCTGTAACAGCCAGTATCTGCATGTCTTTGTCTGAGGGCTTTCTCCTAAACGAAGACAGGCCCCTATGGGAGCAGCCCGCAACCAGAGGCTGCTGGGAGTAGATGGATCAATTCTCAGGCTTCCTCACCTCTTATTCCAAATGGCTCTATGATGTGTCCCTAAGAGGGACTGATCCCAGCTGCCTACCGGAATCACCTGCCCATCAACATGTCCAGGGTCACCTCCCAGACGAACTACTTGCACCTAAGTCCTTGTTTCAGGGTCTATTCTGGGGCACCCGAAACTAAGGCAGGGGTTGTTCTCAACATTCTGTCAAGACTACTCTTAGAGCAGAGAGGGCATTTTAGATTGGATGGACCTATTTTTCAACCATCAACAAACATGCATCTGAGTATGTCCTATGTGCCAGGCAGTGCAATACACAAGACTCTCCCTGCCCCATAGAGCTGGAACAGAAGAAAAATGTTTAACAAAAAAATGAACACAATGAATGAACCCACCACTGGTATGAGGCATTCTTAGAGAGATCCAGAAGACAACAGCTCTGACAGCACACAGAAGGTCATATTAACTAGTCTGGGACCCAGGGAGGATCTGTCTCAAGCTGAGGTCTCATGGATGATGAGGAGGAATCTGGTCAACGGGGGAAGAACTTTCTAAACTAACGGAATAGCTGAAACAGAGAGCATGGGTGGGAAGAAGCTTGGTAAATTTAAGGAATGAGATGGTGCCATGGAGCTGGAGCACAGGAGGGAGCCATGCCATACAACCCCAAATAACTTTCAATTCAATTTACTCTGTTTTTCTCTTCCTCTACCAACTTTCTCATATTCCTTTGAGTTCCTAAGTCACCATTCTATTTCTGCATCTCACTTTCTCCCCCTCTTGGCAGATAGTTAGTTAGAGTGTGCAGAGAAAACGACAAGCATCATTTGAGTCTTCATTGAATTCACAAGCGTTAGCTGAGTATCTACAACACGCTGGTCCCTGTCCTGGAGACAGGGATTCTGGGGGCACCAAGAATAAACCCAGTAAGTATGCTGGGTGCCAGGGTGATGAGCACGAGGGAGAAAAGCAATGCAGGGAGGGGGAAGAGAAACATCAGCGAATGGGGGCAGGAGGAGGGGCGTAATGGTGAAAGCAACTGTTCTTTACCATCTGGCAAGGAAGTATCTCAGTGGTAAGGATTCTCAGACCAGCACTGCCCAGGAGAACTTTACTAAGAGCTGCGTGTGAAATTTGTGATTTTCTAGCAGCCACATTAAGAGAGTAAGAAAGAAAAAAGCAGCAGCATGTGAAATTAGTTTTAATAACACGGTTTCTTTAACCCAGTCCATTCAAAGCATTATCATTTCAACAGGCAGTCAACATGAAATATTTATTTTTTGGAGGAAGTCTTTGAAATCTGGGGCATATTCTTCATAGCAGGGCACATCTTAGTTGAGGTGCTTAATGGCTGCATGTGGCCAGCGGTAAAAGACCTAGACAGTGCCTGCCAGCCCAGGGAAAGAGACACTGAAGTAAAGATGTGAAGAAAGATAGGGGGTGAGCCTCAGGAATAAGCCGGGGGGGGGGGGGGGGAACGCGAGGCAGAGGGATAGCCAGTGCAAAGGTCCTGGGGCATAACTATGCCTGGTGCATTTAAATAACAGGCCAGTGTGGCTGGAGCCAAGGGATCCAGAGTCACAGCAGGAGGACATGAGGGCAGGGAGGTGATGAGACCTTGCAGGCCACAGGAGGATTTTGGCTTTTGCTCTGAGGGAGGTGGAAGCTATGGAAGGTTTGGAGCAAAGGAGAGAGATATATAATCTGATATCCTAGCTAATAAAAGAGTAATATGCAAATTGACTATCACCCCAACACACAAGATGGCCACCAGGGGAGGGCAGTTAGGAGGGACCAGGCCTACAAGGGAGGGCAGTTGGGGATAGCCAGGCCAGCAGAGGAGGGAAGTTGGGGGCGACCAGGCCTGCAGGGAAGGACAGTTGGCGGGGGCGGGGGGATGACCCAGGACTGCAGGGGAGAGCAGTTAGGGGGGAACCAGGCCTGCGGGGAGGTCAATTAGGGGTGACCAGGCTGGCAGGGGAGCAGTTAGGCATCAATTAGACTGGCAGGGAAGTGGTTAGGAGGTGATCAGGCTGGCAGGCAGAAAGGGTTAGGCGCAATCAGAAAGGCAGACAGGCAAGCAGTTGGGAGCCAGCAGTCCTGGGTTGTGAGAGGGATGTCCTACCAGGATCGGGCCTAAACAGGCAGTTGGACATCCCTCCAGGTGTCCCAGATTGAAGAGGGAGCAGGCTGGGCTGAGGGACGCACACCCCCGTGCATGAATTTCATACACTGGGCCTCCAGTATAGAATAAGACCCCTCTGGGCAAGTCCAAAAACTGAGAGACTTGGGGAGGAAGCAACTGCATTGTTCCAGGGGAGCGATAACGGGTCTAGATCAGGTTGTGCCAGGCGGAATGGTAACACCGAGGTGAGCTTAACCCTACGCCAGAGAGGATGGCGGTACGTGGATGAGAGACCAAGTCCTCTGGCCCCAGAGCTGTAGGAGGCTGGAATGAGGAGGACGTGAATACAGGCAGGAGGGCTGGGACAGCATCATCGCGGAGTCCGAGTCTGAGGAGGCAGCACAGCGCCATGCTCACAAAGTCTCAGACCTGGGATTACACCCCAGCCTCGTGTTTCCTCCCGGCATGGCCTTTGCCTAAACTTGTCTGTGCCTCAGGAAGGCAGAACTTCCCTCCTGCCCAGGGCCAGGCTAGCCGGCACCCAAGACGGCCCACCTCCCGGGCTCTTCCTGGAAGGTGAGAAGGGAGGGGAAGGAGAATGGGAGGCGAAGGCGGGCTTCTCGGGTGTGTGGTGCAGGAGCCACTGGCGGGCTGCACAGCGGAGGCTGTGAAGTGGAGGCCGAGGAGGCGGGTCTTGTCGTGTGGACAGTGGGAGGCACGTAAGGTTTCGGAGACGGGGAGGGCTGGGATGGGGGTTGGCGTTAGGGAGACAAGCCTGACAGCTGAAAGGACAGATTGGTGGTGAAGGGGGCAGGAGCGGGGAGGGAGCCGCAGAGCAGGCCGGCGTAACGAGGGCTGGAAGTAGGACAAAGGCAGTGGGAGTACAAAGGAGGCCCCGGTTTATATTTAGCTGCCATTGATTGCCGTGCACCAGGGAGCTCGCCTGGGCTCATCCATTCCTTCCTGCACCCTGGGACTTAGCAGGATGAGCCCCATTTTACGGAGCAGGACACTAAAGCCCCGGGATGCTACGAGTGCACGGGGACCACACCACTGAGGAAGGACTTGGACCTGGGACACCAGTGCTCCAGAACCCGTTCTCCCGAACACAGGGCAACAGTGAGGATGAGAGGGAAGGGAAGAACGGCTTCCTGGTTCTGAACGAAGAGATGGTCATTTAGTTATCCAACGAGGTTTCTCAGCACCTACTATGGGCTGTGTGCTCAGGAGGGGCCTGAGGATGCTGCCATGAACAGAGTGACAGCGGTCAAACACACAGTAGGTCAAATGGTGGGAAGCACTCTGGAGAACAGCACAGCAGCCACCAGGGCTTCCAAGGGGAGGATGGAGCATGGGGTGGGAGAGAGAGGAATCCAGGGCAGCTGTAGGGCTCTGACCTGGGCTATCGGAAGGAAAGAGTGGCTGCGATTGAGAAAGGGAAGATAGATGAAGGGGTAGGCTGGGAGGAAGATCAAAAGCTGGTTGTGGACCTGTTGAGTTTGAGATGCTAGTTTTCTGTATTTCTCCGCCTCCCCCACCTTTGTCAAAACTTTCCACTGGATCCCAGCAAGCTTGGAAGAAAAATCTAAACTCCACCATGACCACAAGACCTTCTGTGCCTTCACCCCTAATGCCTTTCT